TTCAGTTATATGATGGGTTTTTTACTCAGCAGTACAGAAAGGTGAAATCATGAAATTTGAAGGTAAATGGTTGGAACTAGAAACTGTTATACTAAGTGAAGTAACATAGACTCAAAAAAAAAAAATCGACATATGTTGTCCCTCATATGTGGATCCTAGAATGAAACCCTGATCAGTGAGTATGTATCCAGACATAACTACAGGACCAGGATTAAGGAAAGGAACCAGGGAGGTAAAGGAAAAGAAAGAACCTGAAAGAGAAGAACAGTAGGAAACAGACATTAATAAGGGAGATATGGATAAGAACTGTGTTAGTTTAAGGGAGGGGGGAGGTAAGGGTATACAAGGAACCTAGGGGATAAAGGGAAAGAAGGAGCTCAAGAGAGGTAGTATTGTAAAAGAAGGGTATATTTAAGGGAGAAAGGGGGAAATGGGGGTACCTTAATTGGGAAAACTGGTGGAGGGGTGAGACAATGCGAGAGATAAATAATGCCTAGCTAGTTTTGAAAAACAGAGGGAACCTTATTACTCCTATAACCTACTGACAAATTATACATAGCACATCAAGAAATATATGTCTAGGGAAGGTTTATCTGAGAACAACTGTTCTTTGCCCAAGATTTATCTACATGACACACAGTAATCAAAAATACCAGACTGGTAGAACTAACCTTCTTGGATGTTTAACAGATAAACTTTGAGGCCTATACTAATTTGGTCAGAGGGACATAAAAGACACTTTGGCTCCTTGCCCTCCTATGTCAACTATGCTCCAGGGGACTATGAGCCTCTCTCAAAATGTCCTGTAACTGAAGTGCCTCACCTGTCCTCTTGATCAAGGAGGCCACAGAGACCCCACCAAATGGACTTGAACCAGTGTCTAGTCTACAAAGAGGAGGGTCAACACAGGGAAAACATTTCCTCCATGCTTCTAAGTGAAGCCAGCCATGCTCGAGCAGGATCATTGACTTATCTTCACATAGATGGAACTGGTAAAAGAAATAAGCCAGGGGCTCCTCCCAAGCCCATGTGACCCCTGAGGAACAGATACTCAAACGACCTTAAGAGTAAAAATAAATTGTTTTATCTGGGCCAACGTTTGGTCTTAAACACCCAAAAGGAAAGTATAGCTTTGAGTCCATGTGTATAGCTAAAGTACATAACAAGAAACATTGCCAGATAGGAGATACCTTCCTTTGAGTTGTTGGCCAGGGTGGTCCAAGAGACTCCCAGAG